ATGTCAGCTGACCATGGACCGAAATATCTGCAACTGTGAACCAAAGTACAGCTTTCCTCCTCTAAACTCGTACGTCAGGTATTTGGGTACAGCAGCAAAACAAAACAACTTAATACTGTATGTTAAAAAAAAATACAAGTTTGAAGCAAATAGGAAATATAAAAAAGCAGCACAACAGATTTGGAAACAAGTGAATAGAACTTCCAGAGGTGAAAAATGCATAAGTGTAAGTAAATATTTAATAGAAGAATTTAACAATAGATTAGGGACCACTGAAAAGAAAACTGAATATTAGGTAGGAAGTTTCCTGGAGAGCCAGGTGTGGTGGCACACACCTGTAATCCCAGCACTTGGGAGGCTGAGGCAGGAGGATGGCAGTAAGTTTGAGTCTAAACATAGTGAGATCCTGTCTCAAAAAGGGGATATATATATATATATATATATATATATATATCTCTCTATATATATATAAAACCTGGAACGAAATGCAGAGAGTTAAAATATGCAAAAAGACACATGAGAAATAGATACAGAGGTTAGAATGGGAAAGTCTAAAGCATACTAATACCAAGTCCCAGAAGAAGAGTAGAGAGAGAAATGGGTAGAGATTAGCTGAGGTTTCTGGAACCGATGAAAGGTAACAGTGCCTTGATTGCAGAAAGGTATGAATCCCTCGGGCAGTAGTAGTGAAGCAGACTATTATCACTGAAAACTCTAAAATCTTCACCATCAGTGCTCAAGGGGGATAAAGAAGAAGCAACTCACACCTATAAACACCACAGCGAAAACTTGCAGAAAGACAAATGCGAAAACACTGGAATGTAACTGAAGAAAATAAAACAGACACTGTATCTTCAAAGAACTGACAAGTGACTTTCAAAGAACCTCAGTTTCCTTCTGTATGAAATAAGGATTGTGACAATCTAATAGCTGACTTCACAATAGAAGGTGGGCACCAGAGGCAGCAGAGTATTTTCACTGTGCTGAAGGTAATCTCCAAGTTCTAACAAGAGAAAATTTACCAAGAAAGAAAACTAAAAACATATTTTATGACAAAAAGAGTTTATCACCTCAGTGAAGGAAATTCTAGGTCATATCCTTCAAAAAGGAAGTGATTGTAGATCTGAGAACTGAAAGAAAAAAAAAGAATAAAGAGCAAGTAAATGGTAAGGAGATGAAATATTTCATGTAAATAAAGGCTGGGTTGCAGCTCGGCTTGCCTAGCACATGTGAGGCCCTCACCTCAATCCTTAGTATTACAATCAGTCAGTCATTCAAAAAGCCCTGTGGTGTTAGACAGTTAAAACATTTCCAACTGTAATGTATACACTAAGAGTAGGGGAAACTGGAACTAACATATTTGAAAATTCTAGTGTTTGCTGGAAAGAGAAAAAGGTTTTAGTTATGCAATTTTGATGCATTAATCATGCATGCTATAATACCTAATAAAAACATGGAAGGAATAGAAATGAGGCTAAGTATGGTGCCACCTTTTATCCCAGCACTCTGCGAGGCTGAGGCAGGAGAATGGCAAGTTCAAGCCCAGCCTAGGCAACTTAATGATTTGTAATACCCTGTCTCAAAATTTAAAAAACAAAATTGAAAAGGGCTGGGGATGTAGCTTAGGACAAAAGCCCTGGGTTCAATCCCCCGTACAGGGAAAAAGAAAAACAAAACAGTAAGTAAAAGAAGGCAATAAAGGAGAGAAATAACAGAACAGTGGGACAAATAGAAAGCACAAAAAATTTAGGAGAGTAAAGGTGAACCAGGGGAAGATCTTCCTCACCCCAAGAGGAGATAAAGGCCTCACTTTGGCAGAGGAGGGGAAAGTCGGGTGGGCACAGATGTGTCCTGGGGGAACTGCCTGCTTGCTTCCCTAGTTCCCTGGTGGACCCAAGAGCAGAGGCGGTCTGCGCCTCACTTCCTGGATAGCATGCAGAGTACAAAGGGCTGTGCAGTGAATCTGGAGCGATGGGCTGGGTACTAAGTTTTTGCCACTGTGATCAAACCCCACAGAAAAACAATCCAAAGGCAGACAGATTTACTTTAGCTCACAGTGTCGGGGTTGTGGTCCATGGTTGACCAGCTCCATTGCTTTTAGGCCTTGGTGGGGCAGAAGCAGCGAGGCAGAGGGTGTGGCCAAGGCCAGCGAGTGGAGAGGATGAGACAGCCAGGGCGGAAGGGGGTGAGACTAGATAAAGTCCCAGAGTTGTGCCTCCAAGATCCACTCCCTTCAACCAGCCCCTGCCTCCTGTCTCGGAGTTAGCGCCCCCATGATCCAAGCACTTTCCAAGAGCCCATCAGCAACCAAGCCCTCAATGCCATGTGTCATTCAGCAAGGACGTATTGGATCCCAACGATAACAGGCCCTTAAGCAGCCTTACAATTTCCCAGTCCCAGTGTGAGAGGGGGCAGCAGAATGACCCCAGGCCCAAGAGTGACACCGGAGACACGAAGCCTTTGAAAATCTCTTGAAGTCTCGTAGGATTTAAGCATAACACCCAGGCAGCAGAAAGTCTATCGTGTCCTCAAGAGCGAGAGATGTGGAGGGGGAGAAAGGAAGAGCGCATGGGGATGAGAGCCGACAGCGACCTGCCTGGCTCATCAGCTGAGGGCCGATGGGTGAAGGACGCTGCCAGTGGCTGATGAGAACTGAGGATCAAACGCCCATCCTCACGTCCCCAAACTCAGCCTTATAAAGCCCTTGGGAATTTAGACACAGTCCCAGAGAGGTTGAGAAGACCCTGAAGTGAAATTCTACTTCTCCGAATGCAAGATGTACTCAACAGGATACCTACAGCCGTAGGGAATAGACAGCTCAATCCAACTTGGTTTGAATAATTTGAAGTGAATTGGTGCCTAGGGTGTCAGGGAGAAGACTGGTTTTTCTTCGCCTCAGAGACCCATCGTCACTGCTGTTATTCATAGTCTCCCTCCTTCTCGCTCTTGCTTCTCTCTTAGACCTTCAGAAAAATCTCCCTCCGCCAGCTGCACACAATTAAACGGCAATAGTAGGCCAGGTTCAAGTTCTCTCCCACAGGGCGTCCGGAGCAGGCCGACGGGAGTGGACATCTGTCCTATGACGCTGGCTCATGCACAGCCCGCAGACAACCCGTGGCAGGAGCACTGGCTCCTTCTTTCAGGGACAGAGCGCAACTCCTGCTCTGCCCAGCTGAGAGATGTTTCCACACGAGCCATGTGACTGTCAGCAAATCATATTCACTGAGTCTTGGTTCCCACATTCTTAAAACAGGAATAATAATGTCTATCTGCAAGCCAGCTGTGGAGGTGCATGCTTGCAATCCTAGTGCCCGGGAGGCTGAGGCAGGAGGATGGCAGTAAGTTTGAGTCTAACCCAGGCTGAGTAACTTAGCATCTTGGTGAACCCTGACTCAAAATAAAAATAAATAAATAAAAAGGGCTGGGGGTGTAGCTCCATGTAATTTTCAGTACAATAAAAAAAGGATGTCTTGACTCTCTCTCTCTCTCTCTCTATATATATATGTACACCCACAGCCTATATTTTGTGGTATTTGCTATGGTTATTTTTTTCCCATTGATGAGCATTCAGGTTGATTTTAGACCTTTTGTTTTGCTTTTGTTTTCCTTCTGCTGTTAGCAAGAATCCTCCAACAACTTATTTTGTTTAAACATCTAGAAATTTAAAAACTCACTTTGAACTTGCAGGTAAAAATGACATATTTGAGTTTTATGGTTTTTTTTTTTTCTTTTCTTTTGGCTTTTTGAGACAGGGTCTCACTATGCAGTTCAGGCTGGCCTTGAGCTCACTTTGTAGACCAGGCTGGCCTCAAACTCGTAAGGATCCTCCTGCTTCAGCCTCCTGAGTGCTGGGAGCACAGGCGTGTGCCGCCACCCCCAGCCTTTCGTAGAATTTAACAATTTACCGAGCTGCTAATTTATTTTCCCCAAAGAGCGTTTAACCATCTTTTGTAGGAGGTGGTAAGGGGAGACTCACTCACCTTCCACGTGGAGGTGGTGGTGCTGGAATGGAACCCTGCTTTTGCACGCTGAGAGCTGGTCTCTGACTACCATCAGACTGGAAAGAGAAAATACCTTGCTTGGAAGCAGGCCTGAGACCCCGCTGGCTCCCTTGTCCCTCCCCCGAGCTTTCCCCTGAGCAGCTGTCCCCAGTCAGCCCCGTGGGGTCTCGGGTCTGTTCTGATGCTCCTCCTTGGCTCGCTCACTGGGCTTTGCAAAGAAAGCTCTTTGAACTCTCCGCTGGGTGGACCCGAAGAGAGCCTCCAATCGGCTCCTTAGGGTCTGGCGCCATCTGCTGGCTTCTAGGACGCATCACAATCCTTAGAGGGTTGTGCGCTCTGACTGCAGGGCTCATCCATGGCCACTCATCACTGTTATTAGAGAAACCGAAGCAGCCAGCAGGTAAGGGACTTGCTCAAGAACACAAGCAAATACGAAGTTCCCAGGATCAGAACGTGAGACTTGGGATCCTTTTGTCAGCCCTGTTTCCAGCACACCATCGTGAAAGTGGATGCCTGCCAACATATCCCCAGGGGCTCTCGGGGACTGCAGTCACCGAGGGGACACTTGATTGGCCTTGTTTCTCCCCTCAGAGTACTGGTGAGCTCAGTACACCCTACACATAGGCCATTCTTCTGCAACTGTTATCTTCATGGGCCCCTTCGTGTATCGCCCATGTTCATGTACCGCCCCAAGTATTATTTACTTAGCGTTTTTCTTTAAAATGGCTCATTTTAGCTGGGCGTGGTGGCGCATGCCTGTAATCCCAGCACTCGGAAGGCTGAAGCAGGAGGATCAGGATCGTTGCGAGTTCAAGACCAGCTGGGCTGCAAAGTGAGTTCAAGGCCAGCCTGAACTGCATAGCGGGACCCTGTCTCAAAAAAGACAAAAAAAAAAAAATTATCTCATTTTAAACTTAAATTTCCAAGAAGTTCTGTTACCCTTCCCCTGGTTCACAGACACACAGAGGTTGTTTCTGAGTTCTCATTGTCCTCTTTCAGTGCAAGATGATGTGGTCCTCATCCTGACTTCTTCACCAACAATCTTTGTGAAGAAGAACCTGGTATCTTTCAGTACTGACCTTGCTCTGCGCCTTCACAACGCTCTCTAGTCCCCTGTGGCACTCTTATCCCCCTGGGAATGTGAGATACAGAAGGGCTGGATATTTGCCTAAAGCTGCACATTGGTAAGTAGTTGAGCTGAATTCGCTCACACCCTGGATATTTCCACACTAACTGATATGATCTTGCTTCCTTTCTGTGGTGGATAAGCTTAACTGAATCAACCTGACTGTCTTGGAGCTCCCTAGGGGATTAGTAAAGCACACTTCTGAGTGTGTCTGGGTTGGTGATGGAGGCGTGACCTTGGGGTCTATGTCTAACCCCTGGCCTCTTCTTTTCTCTCGTGCTGTTCCTCTCGTCTTCTCAGCTGTCATGAACTAAGCGGCCTTCCCTACACCTTCTGCCACAATGCCTCTGCCTTGGAGCCAGTGTACCATGGACTGAATTCCCTAAAACCATGAGCGAAATTTAACTTCTTTAAAATGTGGGTTTTAGGTATTGAGTCCCAGCAATGGGAAAACTAATATACTTTCTGAAATGAAAAAGTAAAATGATGCAAAGAAGTAATGATAGGCCAGTGTCTGCCTAAGAAGTAATGATAGGCCAGTGTCTGTGTCTCAGAAAGACTCGCCATCCAGGGGGAGGCAGACAGTGGGTGGTCTGTGCCATGACAGAGGCAAGTGCAGGTCCAGGTGCACAGGAGGTTGAGGGAACATGTGAGCCCTGAGTCCTGGAGATGGGGAGGTAGGTAAGAAGGAGGATTCTGGATGCTGCCTTTGACATCATTGATCCTGTTGGGTATCTGGTGGCTCCTTTGATCATTTACCTTCCCAGATGTAATCCTGGACTGCTACAGGGTAGACAGGGGGAGAGGTTGGGGTATAGGCAGAAGCACAGGCTGGAATGATAATATCATTGGTGGTAATGATCTTGGCCTCAGCTTCCTCATCTATCCCATGTTCTGTCCATGTAAAAAGTCTACGTGGCCCACAGGCCCCAGCCATGAGCTCCTTCAGGGCCGGACTCAGTGGCAGAGAGTATTTTCTGGGGCTGCCTACACAGCTGACAATTGGAAGGACCAGAGAGACAAAGGCCTGGCCATCTGGATCCAGCAAAGGACATTCTGGTGACCAAACTCCTTCCAGCACTCCAGGCTGCTGGACTGGAGGTTGGCAGAGGCTTTGTCTGCCCAATCCTGCTTCCTTCTTTTTCTTTCCACAGGTGTTGGCTCCCAGAAAGCCCCTGGAAGGCCAAACTCATCATAGCATCTACTTTCGGAGAACCCAGCCTGGGACATATCAAGTTTATGTACACAGGACATAGGCGGCATGTAATGATTTTGATTAAACAATTATTCTGCTCATTGGAAGCCACCTTCTGGCTCATTTTTGGAGACACTGAGGGTAGATAGCAGGAAGCTCAGTCATTGGGCTACACCACAGCCTCCCTGCCTGATCAGGCCTCATAGAACCAGGGAAAATAACTTAAAGACACACGGCTGAGGCCTAGTGGGAGAAGGCTTCTGGAGAGAAGAAAGACAATGAGGCAGATGGCACGTATGACAGGCACTACATGTGGTCTACTTAGGTGCTCCATAGACATCTACCAGGTACGTAGTATAGGGGAGGCCTTGTGTTGGGGGAGAAATTGAAGAAATATCTTGCAGGCCTCTGACCCTGACTGTCTGTCAGGGAAGTCCACAGCCCTGACAACTTTGAGTATTTTCTTAATCTATTTGCCCCTTATTTGACTTTTTTAACTGTACCCCCTGCCACTGAGGTATTGCAAATGCTTCTAGTTCTTTCCTACTCCAGAAAATGTAATCATAGTCATATTTCTATGTACAAGTAGGTTCTCCTCTTGATGAACTTCCTTTGCGTACTGATTCAGGGGTAAAATCCTACAGTGTATGATCAGTTTGGTCAGCATGCTCTCCAGAAAGCACGGTCAAATACGCAGCTCCACAAGCTACACACAAGGAAGGGATCCTCCACATCTCTGCCAGTTTTTTAGCTGTGCACCTTCTAAAATGTTGCTCTTAATTTTAAAAACTGGAGTTTGTTTTTAATTTCCACTTTCCCTGAAGTGTTTTCTGTCTTTTTTTCTTGAGGAACAGTGTGCCGTGATGCCAGGAGGTGACACTCTGTCTCTGTGCTTAGCCCTGCTGAGAACTTCCCCTGGGGAGTTGGGTCTGGGTGCCTCAGAAGACCTGGAGAGAAGACTCTGATGCTGTTCTTCCTGCAAAGCAGCTTCCCAGGGAGCTGGAGGGACTGTTGCCAGCTACAGGGATCTGAGATCTTGGGGGATATGGGGGCTGAGCAGGGCAAGTTGGACAGAGTGAGGATGGGGGCCTGGGTCAGGTGTGACCAAGAGCCACTGTGAGCCTGAGAGTCTACTGCAGACAAAACCCAAGAAAGGCAGGGAAGACAGGCAAGAGCCAAACTAGCAGGAACTCGAGGCCAAGCTAAGAAGTACAGACTTTATATTTTGCAAGCCAAGGTGCCTGCCTGGAAGTTTCTCGACAATAAATGGTAGGATGGTATTTGTGACTTGGCGAAATTGGCCAAAGGTCAAGCTAATTTGGTGGCTTTCCTCCTACGTTCCAGGGCATGCTACCTCCTCATGGCTGATGCCCTAGGGCGGTCCACAGGTTTGCCTACTCCCCTTCTCCCAAAGGGCCCTTTCCTCTGGCTTCTGTGGAGCCCCAGTGCTCTCCTGACACAGCCTCTCCTCTGTCCCCTACATCCAGCCATTAAAGACTGTCCTTCCTCAAAGCTGCTCAGCCTGTACTGTCCCCAGGGCGATTCACTTAAATTACACCCTGCACCAAGATGACTCAGCCCAGTACTCCCCTCTGAGTGCCAGACCCATAGATCCAACTGCTTGCTTGACAGCTCCTTCTGAATACTTGGGAAGCATTTTGAATTCACGTTGCAGACTCCCCCACCCAGCTTTGCCCAGTGCTGGCCCTCTTCTGGTGTTCCTTGCTGGGTGGACAACACCAGCATCCATCCAGCTAAACAGATTAAAATTCAGAGGAATCCTGATGACCCTTCCCCCATTTCCAGTCTGCCCCCACGTCAACTGGACTTTCCTTCTTTGACATCGGTCAAACTTCCTGCTTCTTTCCATCTCCAGGGCCGCTCACCCAGGTCACAGCCACACTGCTTTGCACCCGGACAGCTGCAGAGCTGCCTCACTGTCTTCCTCCTTCCTTTGCTCCTCTGCAATCACGCCTTCACAGTGTAGACCTGACCGTGTCTTTCAGATCTCCACAGTGGCTTCTCACTGGGTATTTTAAAGAAACTTTTATTGCTGAAACACTGTAATGGATACGGAAAAGAACATAAAACAAACGAACAAGTGCACACCTAGAACCAAACCCCAAGACTGAATCTTGCCAGCCACCCCTCTTCACGTTCCCCTCAAAACAGAACCACCTCCTCCCCGCAGCCCCAGGGCAAAGAGCGTGATGTCTGTGGTGGTAAGCAGCTACTTACAGGCTGCCCTTGGCTAATTTGATTTAGGGTTTCTGATTGTTTTCTTTACAGTGGTACAAAAGCAACATGCATTTGCAAACCATACTTTGAATTTTAATCTTTCCCTGAGCTAGTGCTTTGCGGTAAGATACTTTTGTGAGATGTGGCAGCGAGCTATAACTTCCAGTCAGCCTGCCCGCTCCCACATGAGGAAAACAACCCATGTTTTACAGTGTACCTGTGCAGTGTAAGTTACCAACATTTTTTGGATGTCATATTTTGTGTTTTGGCATCCTTTCATGTCTGTAAGATGCCCGTCTGTGTCTGCTGTACCCATAGGACCATTCTGTTCTTTTTTGTTTGTTTGTTTGTTTTCTTTTTTGCTTTCGGTACAGTATAAATTACATGGGATGTCTGACACTTTTTTAAAGTAGGCTTTGTGTTAGAGGATTTTTCCTGACTATAAATGTTCTCACAATGCTCAAGGTAGGTTAGGCTATAAGCTCTCATGTTTGCGTTTAGACTTAAAATTTTTATCCCTGGCCCCATCATAACTTGAGGAGCATCTGTATTTTTTTTTGTTATCCTAACATGCATCCTTAAATGCTGTAGTTCAGCTTTGCCCGTTTGTTCTTTATTTATGTGTCTGTTAGGTCTCCTTTAATCTAGAGATCCCTTCCATCTCTTTTCTTCCTTCTTGCAATAAATTCTGCCTGCAGAGCTCCCACTGAGAATAAACAATTCCCTTCCAGGTCTGTAAGGCCTTTTTTGGTCTGATCACCCCAAATCCCTCCAGTCTAATCTCCCACTAGGCTCTACTTTATACTCTTTCAACTTCCTGCCAGGTGGAGTGTGGTAGCTCAACCTGTGAGTCTAGCACTTGTGAGGCTGAGGCATGAGTTCCAGACCGGCCTGGGCTATGTAGCAAGTTCAAGTCCAGCCTGGAATAAATAGTGAGACTCTGTCTCCCAAAAAATTAAATAAAACTCAACTTCTGGTCCACCTTGTCTGCCATCCTGCCTGTTTCAGGTAGGACTTTTACAGTGGCCTAAAATGCCCTTCCTTCCCTGTGTCTCCTACTTAATCCCTTATATCTCTGTTCTAGCGTTCCCTCCTCTGAGAAGTTCCCTTTACTCCCTGACCTGGTCTCCCCTACCCTTGCAGCCTCTCACAAGCCCCTCCCCTCCTCCCAGTGCCCTGCAGCTGTGGTTTTCCTTGTGTCTGGAAGATGATATGATGACTGTCAGCTCCATCCTCTTTCCTATCCTTGAGCGTAGGGGTTGTCTCCCTACTACCTAGCAGAGTGCTGGCACATACTAGGTGTTCAGTTACAAGTTTGCTGACAACTCCCAGGAAGAGAGAAGCAGCAGCCAGCAGTACCACCAGCATCGAGGCGGGCTCTGGAGAGCTGGATTCAGGAGCCCAGTGCTCAGTGAGAGCTGGGTGGAGGAAGCTGTGAGAAGAGCAAAGGGTGGGGCTCCGGCCCAGCTCCTGGGGGCCATGCCCAGGGCCCTTCTGCCTACTCCATAATCAAAGCCACAGGAGCTGGACGCAGGCTGGGGCTCGATGGCAGAACACCTGCATCGTGTATGTGAAGCCCAGGATCCAACCCAAGCACAGAAAAAAAATCCCTGCAGAGTGGGTCAGCCACTCCCACTCACTCTCTGGAACTAAGCCAAGTGGAAGCCAGTGTTCCAGCCCAGTCCTGGGGGCAGGGCAGCCCCGCCCTCCTTAGTCCCTGCTGCCTGTGCTCTGCCCCCCTCTCTCAGCCCCCCCAATTCTTTGGATCTCTTCTTCTTTCTCTCCGTTCTTTATTTATGTCTGTCAGATCTCCTTTTTTATTTTAGTTTTTTTTGAGACAGGGTCTGACTATGTTTTTCAGGCTGACCTTGAACTATGTAGCCCAGGCTGGCCTCAAACTCATGGTGATCCTCATGCCTCAGCCTCCTGAGTGCTGGGATTACTGGTGTAACCACCACACCCAACAGGTTTCATTCAATCTAGAGATCTCTTCCATCTCTTTTCTTCTCTCTTGTAATAAATTTTACCTGCAGAGAACTCCCACTGCTTTTAAAATAAGGGAGAAAAAATTCCCTTCCAGGCCTGTAAGAAGCTCTCTCTCTCTCTCTCTCTCTCTCTCTCTCTCTCTCTCTGGGGTTTAAACCCAGGGCCTCCACACTCAGCTATGCCCCCAGGCCTGTTTATTTTTTATTTTGAGACAGGATCTTGTTAAATTGCTCAGGCTCAGCTCTAAATTGCGATCCTCCTGCCTCAGCCTCCCATAGTGCTGGGATTATAAGCATGGGCTACCATGCCTGGCTCCCCCTTTCTCTCTGAACTAAGGGGGTGATTGGAGAATTGGAGGCATGAATAGAGTTGTGAGACATGGAAGAGGTGAGGCAGGTGGGCCTTGTGGGAACTGAGTGAGGGGTCCGCTTGGACAAAGGCCCAGAGGGAGTCTTGAAGGGAGCTTGGACTACAAGGCAGGGTTCAAATAGCCAAGACCGGGCACAGCCAGGCACGCCCTCAGGACTGGAGGTGGGCTGGGCAGCTGGAGCAGAGCTGTGGGGATATAGAAGGGAAAGGGAGTGAGTCTTCTCCCCTTTCCCTCCCTCCATCTCTGTAGAGGGCTGATCTTTTTTCCGTGTTCTCCTGGAACCCAGGGCTCTTAGGAATTCTCAGCACTGTTACCTCCCAGAAAATGAGAGCTGGATCTCACTGCTGGGGGCCAAAAGAGGGAGGGAGAGGGAGAGAGGTTACTGTGAGGGGAAGGGTCACAGCTCCAGATTCCTGGGATCCTGCAGCTTCAGTCCCTCAGGGAAACAAAAACAAAACAAAACAACAAAACAAAACCAAAACACACGAAAAGGCAGAGAAAGTGACTGAGAGACAGACATAAATAGAGACCAAATTCTGGACTTGGGAGAGATGAAAAAGACACAGAGAAAGGCATCGAGAGAATCTGACAGGGACTCAGGGCTCTGCTTTTGCCCGGAGCGATTCTGATGTTATCTGTCTCCAGCTGCCTCCCTCCTCTCCCTGCCGCCGTCCCCACCTCTGCCCCTCCTTCCTCCTCAGCCCCACAGCTAGGTGTCCGTCTCTCTTTCCCTATCTCTTCTGCACCAGAGCCTGAAAGTAGAGTTCATGGGTCCTTAGCACCTAGGGCGGAGAGAGGGAGTAAGAGGCAGAAGTGCCCAGCTCGGAGGGGGCTCAGGCTGGAACCTCCCTGAGCCTGCTGCCCACCTCTGGGCTGCTGTCTTCCCACCTAGTCTCTGGTGAACATTTCCCTGCATGCACAGCTGTGCAGAGTTGCAGGGGCAGCATTGACATCCCTGCTCTCTGCAGGGAGGCAGGCATGTGCCTCTGTCGGAACCAGCAAATCTCTGTCTCACAGTACCTGTGGATCAAAGCTGCCTAATATTCTCCAGGGGGGTGTTTTCCGTGGGCTCCTGCGCTTGCCTCTGCCCAGTTGCCACTGAGTGTGGCTGTGCTGTCTTTCTATACCTCCATGTGTATCTCCCAGTCTCCAGCCCTACTCCTTGGAAAGTCTACCAGGGTGACAGTGGTGGGTTGAAGCCTCAGGAACATCTGAACCCAGGTTTGAGGGCATGAGGATAGGAGTCTTTGCTCTGGCTCCACCCAGAAGCCAGCCAAGCCCTAGATGGGGGTGCAGAGAGAGCAAAAGGGTAGGGGCAGAGGCAAGGTTGCCCTTCAAACCCTGAGAACGGGGGCGTCACGAGGCCTGTCTATCACAGACTCCAAGCCATCCTGCTCCTGTCTGGAGGATTCCACAGCCACTCCTGTGCTACTTGATTCTGGAATGGGACCTCTCTGGGGGAAGGACCAGGGCCTAGGGAGCCCTGGGATGGCTAAAGGGTCTTCAAGATCCGGCCAGAGCAAGCGCTGCAGGCCGGGTGGGGCAAGCTGTGTGTATTTGTTGGAAAGGTGGGGGGTGGGGGCAGAAAGGCTGCCTGCGGGGGAGAAGGCTTCTTGGCAAACGCCCCAGTTTCCTGAGCTGATCCCTGCTCCCTGCCACTGCTCCCAATTCTGTTGTTTCAATAACATCATTTTTATCCACCCCACAGAGAGACTATGTCTTAGGAGGGGGAGGCAAAGGGCAGGGCTAGGGCACAGGGGAGGAGGGGGGTAATGGAGAGAGCCCAGGGTCTGGAGTTAGCAATGACCAGGTTTGGGGCGCTCCTTCCTCAGGCAGAGGCAGGGCGGTCCCACAGCCCAGGTCCCCTGATGACAAAGACAAATACATTAAAATTCTTGCCTTGGAGAAGAATGCAGGATCGGGAGAGCATTTCATAATCTGCAATAACAGTAGCAGGGTGGGGGCAGGAGTGGACAGAGGGTTTGGAACCCAGGCTGATGATCCCGGAGGGACAGTCATTGGCCACCTGCGGGCCCCAGGGACCCTCAAAGCCCTCTTCACTGCCTATTTGGCTCTCTGGCCTGAGTGTCTGCCCAACCTGCGCATGTCTCTGACGGGGCAGAGCCCAGGCTCGGCAAACTGTACCAAGTTACTCAGTGCAGGGGCCACACGTGTATTGGGACGCTGGGGCTGCATGTGGACCGGTCCTCCCTCAGCCTCCCCTTCCCTTCTCCAGAGCGTTCCAGCCCTTCAGCTCTCTATTCAGTACTGGGGAGTGGGCTGACAGCCTGGACGCCAGGGCACTGGGGTGGGGCCCCTGGAAAACCCAGAGGCACCCTCATGCCTGTAGCTCAGTCTTTCTCATATCTTCTCTACTTACAAATCTTCCTCTTCCAGATCTGCCGCCTCTCCCCAGATAGTCCTCTGTGGTCTTTTGCGGCCTCCTCTGGCTCCCCCGCCCCCCCCGTGCCGCCCACTTTCGGGGGACTCGGAATCTCGCCTTCTCTCTGCTCACTAGGGAGGTTTATCCCTCAATCTCCATTTCTAGATTCCTCCCCACCCCAAATGACCAGAAATGTTCTTCCTGGCGCCCGAAGTTTCTGCCACATGGGTTTGAGGTCCTCATCTGTCCTCCCTTCAAGGACACCTTTAACGGCTGGTGGCCACTGTAGACAGCGGGGAAGGTAGGGAAACTGGCCCTTGCTCCTGAGTGTCTGCACCACCTGTCCCTCGGCACTCCTGGGGCACATGGTAGGGGGATCTGTGGCAGGTCGGAGGGGCTGGGGCTGAGGCCCGCTGCCAGCCGCTTGGCTTGATGAATGGAGCTGTCCCTCCTCCCCACGGAGCCTTTGATCTCCCCCTCGTGGGGAGGGGGCCAGGGGCATCAAAGACATTTTTGTGGCATTAGAGAATCAGATAAACCCCATCTCACCTGCAGCTGGCTCTCCCACCCCTTCTGCCAGGGCCAAGTTGGGGGAAGAACTCTAGGCAGGGACCCGCGGACACCGGAGGCGAGGCTGCCCCTAGCGAGTTCTGACCTCTCAGGCCTCGGAAGTCCGCAACCTCCGCCCTCCAGCTCGCTCACACGTGCGCGGAGCAAGCGCTGGAGTGCAGGCCCCGAGAGGCTCCTCTGCAGTGCCCTCGCCCCGTACTCCCGCCTCGAACGCCAGCTCGAAGGGGCTGGAGGGCTGCAGGGGAGCGGAGCGGAGGCCTAGGGCTGCCTCACTTGCTCCGGGAAACGCTGAGGAAGGGGCGTGCGTGCGGCGCTGGGGCGGCACCAGAAAAGGGGGTGACCCTTCAGAGTCCGGGGCGCGGGCGGTCCTGCTCGACAACTCCCCCCCCCCAGCATCCCGCGCCCCAGGCCGACTTCCTCTTCTGGCCCCGCTGCATCTCCCTCCAACCCCCCTCCCGCAACTCCCTCATTCCTGGGAAGTTTTCTCTCTTTACAGTCAACAAACCTGTCAAACGTCTCCCTTCCAGCCCCCTCATCAGCTCTTCTTCCTCCCTCCGCACCTTACCCTTTTCTACTCCCTCCCCAACACTCCACTCCCGAGGGCCGGTGCGGGCAGCGGGAGGCAAGCGCGGAGGGGAGAGGTGAGGGGCGCGGCCGGCGGGTCCCCAGCACTGCACACGGTCGGCCCCGCCCCGCACCCCGCACCCCAAGCCCCCC